AAATTAAGATTCCCATGTAATATTGACTGCTTTTTTTTGCTTTTTTTCCCCCAGTGTAAAAGATTTTACAGCATGGAATGCTATATGCAGTGGTTACATGAGTCCAAGTAATTGTACCAATTATATAATTTGATATAATTGCACTAATTACATAAACACATAATAATGAAATATAAGTTATTCCAAGAGCTAAACTGGAAGAACATTAAAGAACCTAAATCTGCTCCCACTTATTCTAGTACAAATCAGAAACAATTCCCTTGAAATCAATGAAGTTACCCAAATAAAATTGGCCCCTACTGTTATAAGCAGGCATGTAAATCCAGCTTTTAGTTCAAGGTTACTGACTGGGCAAGCAAATGAAAGCTACTGGGACATTTTTTACTGATGCAGACTGCTAATTCCTGGCCAAATTCCAGTGTATGTAGGGATTCATGACAAAGTTAGATGTCTTCTACTCGTGTTCTGATCTGTCACCCAGAATGTGTGGGTTCTGCTAAAACTTTTAGCTGCTGATTCTAAAGGAAAAATTACTTCTTTTGGAAATACTGAAAACTGAGAATCAGCTGGGCCCAATCAGGAATTCCAGAAAACCAGATTCAGGTGTGTCTTTACTCATATTGGTGCTAGCCTGAATTACATCTGCAGACTTTAGAGGAGTTACTGTAGACTGACATCAGTATTAACAGAAACAGACTCCCCTCTTTGACAGAAATTTGTATTTCTGATCCATTTTGCAAAATGTTTTCCCACCCTTCCCAGTAGAAACCACTCCATACAAAAATTATCCTTATAAAGGATGCGTTCAGTGGGGGAGTTTCCCTCTTCTCTAGTGGCAGGGCAAGTGCAGCAGTTAATTTTCAGCTGCTGAGTTCATCTCTCACAAGTGACAAAGCAAAGAAGGTGAGAGCTGGCAATTTTGGAGCAGGTGTCTATTATGTGTGGAAATACGTGATGTATGCAGAGTTAATCCGACAAGTGCTCTGTTGCACCACATTGTGACAGTCACCCTGTTCACACCGTCCCCACTAACAGCAGTGGGAGGTCCAGGATGGGGTTTTGCCTGTGTTAGAATGTTTTAAAGGGTTCTCCAGCTCCAGAGATCGATTCTGTCACATGACAGAAGACAATGATTTAGCACTTACAAAATCGAGTTCAAAGCCTATCAAAGACAAGAGAGAGTCACCAAGTCACCTTTGGGTGGGGGGGTATGGATAGGACCCAGCTGGTTTTTGAGGTAGAACACCTTACCTGGCATAAAGCAATGAAACTGGATGCTCGGTTTTATAAGGATGGGAATGACAGATGGGAACACCCCAAAATTTTTGAGAAGCAGCCATCAGGCTTGGCCATCTCATTTTTCATTTTGCCCGATTTCAAAAATGCAGGAAGCTTCACAAAGCAGAATTCCTGCACTCCCCTGTAAAAAGCTGGCAAGAGCAGTAGCTTTGTCACATCTCTGAAAAATCAAGCCCAAACTGTCTCAGATTGGTCCCACAAAATTAAAGACCATTTAATTTCATTTTAGCCTCAGAAATCTGTGTGACAGGTTGCTGTCAGCACCAGGATACAAGAACACCTCACTGTCTGTAGCAGAGAGCAGAGCAGCAGAGCTGCCCAGAGCAGCAAGTGACTCCATGCTGCAGAAAACTCCAAGCATGTTCAGTTCACATCGATTTCTAGAGTCTCACACGAAATAAAAGGACCTGGGAGCCTGGACAATGATCCAGTTCTTCCCACTCCCAGGTGATGCCCCTCACACTATCCTGATATTCATGCTCTTCCTTGCACTTGTTTCTGTCCCATAAACACCATGACTCTACAAATGCTACTCTCTAGCTACAAATCGGGAAGCAGAGAAGGCAGGGATATGGGAAGAAAGCTGGGAAAGACTTGTATACCCCAAGAAAAGGGGTGCTTTTTGATGGCCTGTGTGAAAGGGTTCAGGATCCCAAGCTCGCTTGTGGGTTTGCAGCAGGATGCAGAGCACAGTTCCTGCCCCTCACTCCTGGCCAGCCCAGGCTCAAAGCATCCTGGCTGCCAGCAGCTCCCTGTTCCCAGGGCTGCAGGTCCAAACCCCTCGCCAAGCAGAGCACAGTTCCTGCCCCTCACTCCTGGCCAGCCCAGGCTCAAAGCATCCTGGCTGCATCCTGGCTGCCAGCAGCTCCCTGGTCCCCGGGGCTGCAGGTCCAAACCCCTCGCCGACACACCCTGGTCTCCTCCTGAGCACAGCAGTCCCAGTGTCCCATGCAGGGTTTGGCTTTGACCCCAGGAACCAAACCCTTTCAATTAAGAAGGAAACCTAACTGGAGCCAGCCTCCAGGGCCTTGCATTTCAATGGGCAAGATTTCTTAATATATCCCATTTTTTAAGGGGCTGCTCAATCTCATTTATAATGACAGCGTCATATTAGAGCAAACATGCCTTCAGAGTGAAGGGGGGTGTATTGGCCACCGATTTCAAGGGGAATTTATTGAACTCATCAGTAGCCCAGTTGACCCACGGAATGAAAACCAGAGAGAAGGCTGCTGAGAGGTGGAGCAGCAACACTGAGTGGTTAGTGGCTTTGACAATCAATGTGCAGCTCTAGGTGGTGAGAAAGCTGTGAGATATTCAAAAAATTTGATCTGGAGGACAAAGTTCTGAGAAGCAGATTGTTGACACAGTCACAGCAAATTACTCTTGCAGGTCTCCTGTTTAAGCCTGGCTGTGAGGAGAGCTGGGCAGAGCTACACCTGAATGTGAATTGTAACTAGAACCCATCATTAGTTGCATGATCTTGCTTCTTCAACACTTTTCGGGTTTCAGGGTCAGATCTAACATTTGCTAAGTCAACAGAGGTCCTTCTGTCAGCTTCAGCTGGCATTTGCTCAGGTCTCTAGGAGGAAGAATTTACCTGTGAAAATCAGTTAAATCAATATCTGGATATAAGTGCACCTGAGTACTTAAGTATTTCTCAACATTTTTGAGGGCTTGTTAGTAAAAGGGAAATATTTTACTAAAAATAAAAAAAAAAAACCTTTTCTTAGTGTCAGCTAGTTTTTGAGGGCTTGTTAGTAAAAGGGAAATATTTTACTAAAAATAAAAAAAAACAAAAAAAAACATTTTCTTAGTGTCAGCTAGTTTTGGGAAAAAAAAATTTAATCAAACTTACTACTGGTCCTTTATTCCTGGAAGTGCTTTCCACATCTAATTTTTTTTTTTTTTTAACTTCTTCTAAGCAGTCAGGGAGTGACCCAGAGAAGAAGTTACATTCTTACACAGCAGGTGAACCAGGAACTTGCTGTAAATGACCTGCAGGTATGCGGAACAGCGCCGTTCCTGCGCCCAGAGCCCCTGCACTGCTGCAGAGAGAAAGAAGCAGATGCTTACATGTATAGACAGCAATAAAACTGGAGTGTAACATTTTTAGGATCGCAGCTGAGCTCTCAGACAAGGCTTTCTGCAATGACTAATACGACTACGGTCTAATGCGACAGTTCACCGTCTGCAGCCTATTCAGTCCCGAAAGTAAGCAAGTTCCTCCAGATGTTACACACTGAAAAAAGAAAAAAAAAAAGAAAAAAAAAAAAAGCACATCCAGTTTTCAATCTTTTTTATTTATTTAAACTGTACACAAATGTAAAATACTTCAACAGCAAATCTAAGTGAAAATTGTTTGGTTTAAATTATTATGGAACAGAACCTAAAAGGAACTTTATTAAATAAACATAAAAATTGGATTTAAAGGATGCACATATTGTAATGTATTCTACAATAGTCACTTTTTTTTCACTCTACATTCCATGTGCGTATGGTATAGAAAAGACACTGAATAGAACAAACAGAATCCATTTTGTACCCTGAAACAATTGGTAGGCCTCGTGAGGGATTGCTCAGTATGACTACATGATATATGATGGCTTTGCCATCTCATAAAAATTATAACTAATATGTTGGCCTCTTTGGTTCCAAAATTTCTGTATAATACATTTAACTGTATTCATTTTTTGCTGCTATAAAAATAACATTTTTTTTCAAATGGCAGTTTTTGACTAATCATGCAACTAAATCAGTGCAAACATTAAAAGCAATCATTCGCTTTAAAAAAGAAGCAAAAGATTTAATTTCAAGTATAAAAAAATATAAAAAAGTCATATCATAAGTCCAGTTTTGTCTAGTATGGGTCAACACTTTAAATTGCATAGCTCATGCGGCACCTGTTTACCTAGATAGTGAGCAAAGATAAGTGCACTATCAAGTACCACTTTTCAAGGCATTGAAATTTGCAAGTGCTATTATACGTGCATTCAAGCAGTTTGCAAGTGCTATGCTGTATCATTATTTTCTGATCTTTATGGCCATCCTTGACACCTCCTGGTAAGGAAATTGAAAGCACTCTCCTCTCTCCTCCTTTCCAAGACTCGTAAAAATGTTCCTCGCCTGTTATTAAATGCACTGCATTTCCCAGAACGTCTCCACTCTGTCGCTGTCACTCCTCTTTAGGGTTCATTGGTTTAGCCGTGGTGGCCACTGCTTGTTTGCTCGTCCCCCACGTGACGTAGCCTTGCCGAGTCCCCCACTGAAGAACACAGATTGCAACTTTTGACTTTTTGTTCTTTGCACAGTGAGAGATGCCAACAGTTAACACAGTCCAGATATGGTATCGATTCCCTTTTCCAAGACACGGCGGGTGTAGCCAACCATGGGTTGCTAGTGGGCAGTAAAAGCATCGGATCACGCCAGCCCAGCTTGTGACTCCGCAACGGCCAGGTGTTAGAAATACAGCAGTTTCTTACATGTCTGCCCCCTTTTCTCTCTCTCTCTCTCCCCCCGATGGAACCACAGGATTCCTTGCTGGAAGTGCTGTAGCAAGAAGTGGGTATCTGTGATGTTTATGTTCAGATAAATTTAAATTAAGAGGAAGTGATCACCTCCCAAAGCAGGTGTCCTGCAGCTTCCTGTTAGACCTAAGAGGTGACAGTCAACTTTTTTTTTTCCTTTTTATTTTTTTTTAATTTTCTAAGTTTGGTCATTTTGACACCTGCGTGCAAGAATACGTTGTGTTCTCACAGTCTGTGCTTTTGCCTGAGCAAAGGGAGCTCATTTCGGTCTGGCTTTGCCGGCAGGCGGGGAAACAGCTGCTCAGCCGTTCACTCGTACTGGCAGGCATTTAGGTCCATCGTCACTGGTCACTGACTTTCTGTGCTCATGTCCCTTTTCTGAGCTGCCTCGTGTGTGTGTGTCTGTGTGTGTCTGTGTGTCTGAGCGCGTGTTTGTGTGCGTGCCCACATCTCGTGTGTGTGTGTGTGTGTCTTTAAGATATTTCATAGCATTAACTTATAAGTGATAGAATATATAAGCGTCCATGATCCACAAACTGCCACTGTCCTGACACCAAAGTGAAATGATTATTTTTTTCTTTTTTTTTTTTTTGTCAAACTTTTCCACAGTGACTTTCCAACACTGATGCCTGGATACACAGTGAAACTTCCTCCAACACCATCTTGTACGGGAATGTTTCTCTCTCTCTCTCTCTCTCTCTCTCTCTCCCCCCCCAAAACACACCTTAAATCAAGCACAACCACATTCTTCCACAATCATATTGGGAACGTCCCTTTTCACAATGTTGTATTCATCATCAAAGTACAGCATTGACATTGTGCTAAGTTTGGTTGGAATGCAACAGGAGTTCACGGTGCCCGGGTTCAGCCCCCGCATTCGGTACTGATTCACGACAGCGGTGTGAAAGGAGGAAGCCGACCCCGGGACACCGGCCAAGTAGGCCGGGCAGCTCCCTTCACAGTAATTCCCATAGTAACCTGATGGTGCTATGATCCAGTCATTCCACCCAATGAGTCTAAAGTCAATGTAAAACTGTTGCCTGCAACATAGATTGGTCCTGCCATCGCACTCCAGGCCTCTTTTCCGGATCCTGTGTTTGTTATCAGCGAGGCGGGCTTGCACCACTAAAAAAGGCCGGTGGGATTCCTCCCCGGGGTCCACATAAATTGGCAGCACTGAATACTCTTCACAGCCCTCACATTGAACATCCAAGTTCAGTCTCCTTTCTCCTCTCTCAAACAGAGCCTGGATCGCCTCTGTCATGGGAAAAGTGTGCCAACCACTTCTTTTGAGATCAACTTTCTTTTCAACCACATTCCACTTGTTGCTAGTGTCCGGGTCTTGGAAATAGACTTTGACTCTTACTTTTCGCCTGCTGCCTTTCTCTAAGACATATGGAAGCAGCTTCAAGTAAAGCCACAGGCTGGCTTGAACGACAAACAAGTTCTGGTTCCCTTCATTTGAGATGAAGAAATAGAGGCGGACTCTAGATGAGGCCAGATCGTCTGCAAGATAAGGAGAGATCAGCAAGATTAAGTCAAAAAGGAAATGTTAGCTTGTGTGCCATTCTGGATTCAGGGACAACACTAGAGCACAGCAGATCGAGCGAACAGTGACGGGGCTGTGCCAGTCAGAAGGCATGCACTGCATCAGATATCCCCAATTTGCAATTAGAATTCATTGAAAAGGGGACTTCCCACAGCAGCCTTCAGCATCGGGCTGTACTCGGATGTGTCAGATCCACAGACATCAACAAGAGTTTTACAGAATATATGTTTTTTTCCAGAAAGCCAGATTTAAAGATGCTACAGCAGCACCTTGAAAAAGACCAGCACTAGGACTAGACTCTGCTATCTCATCAGTTTAAGAATAGTTTTAACGTTCAGCTACCTGCCAATTCTCATGGGGAGAGCTCTTTCAATAACCACTAAAACGCCAATGCCAAACCAGGGATTTTGTTTCGATTTGCACATATTCTCGCTGCGGTTTAAAGGAGAGGATTCACGAGACAGAACGGAAAATATTTCAGTAATGTGCCTGCTTGTCCAACAGATCAAGCTAACCCCCACTTAGTCTGGTAGAATATCAGCTATTATTAATCTTTTCGATCTCTGCCTTTTCTCCCCAGAACGATGAGCTCCCATACGAGGCAAGGCAATGGAGCGGTTGTTCCCGCTGTAACGCCGTTATTGGCTGTTCTCAATACGCTTTTCAGCAACACCAGAATTAAAGGAGAGAAATTGTCACAGAAAACCAAATGTCACCAAATGTCTGACATAACCCCTTATTTGTAAACAGAAGAGCCTGCTGCATGAAACATTTCAGAAATACCAGCGGCCTTCCTGCAATTTTGTAATGTAAGTCCGAACTAAATTTGGTGTAGGTGATAAATGTGCCGGCCTTTATGGCGGAGACCGTAATTCTGGTCCCTGAATCAAAGCATCCCAATCGCTATTTAAAATTATTGCTGGAAAGGCATTTTCTCATCTGCCCTTATCAGTTTTGCTTCCGTCTGTACAGAGCTAAATGTAGATTTTTTTTCTGCCTTTTCCTTCCCTAAGAATCTTTAGCATTTTTGTCAATCTCTGAATGGGATTTTTTGCGTAGTCGGCGTCTTCATTTGTTACCCTAGATGCCTTTCAAATGTGCCTCCAGAGCCCATTCAGTACCTTGTAATAGTTCAGTGACAAAAATTTTCACTGTGTTTGTCTACGTTTTACATAAAGTCAATTTTGGAAGTGTTACAAAAGACAGCGATTGACTGAATACCAAATGGAAGTACAAGCCCACCCCCAATCTCCCAACAACATCCTATTAAAAAATAATAACCCCCAAAATGTACACTAAGAAAGCCTTTCGCATGTTAGTAAATACACAACTTTTTCGTAAACTGTGGTGACAGTGACAGAAAAAGAACAGTACGGTACTGCTGCACCGATCCACATCACTTGTGTTGTGTGAGATTGTGTGCGCTCATAAATTTTGTATGTGAATATAACAAGCATATGTATAATGCAACAGATCCCATAGATACTGTAAATGTATATGCCTTTGGTAAGTGGGAGGGTAGATAAAGAAGATGAGTGGGCAGCATACAGGATAGAAAGAGATTTATTTTGTGGACAAATGATATATAGATGCCACAAGAAGATAGAGAGAGGAAAATGAAACGAGCGATAGAGTGATGAAGGAAAGGAGAGATGGGCAGATAGACAGGAGAGAGGTAATTCACAGAGTGATGGTGTTCCAGCCAGATGTGCAAAGTTCACAGGGACAGTGGTTAAACTACTGGAAAGCTGTGCTGAAGGGATTCAGTGACACATAACTGCAATGGCTGGACAGGACTGAGATGGCTGGTACCGTGGGGATGGAGGGCAGTTAGTAAACGGACTGACAGACAGACAGGAGACAGACACACTTGGTAGGACACTGCATGCAATGGACAAACAGACAAGGCCAATACTGAAATGAAAGCTAAATAAATGGAAAACAAACGAAAGAGAGGATGGGCAAATGCAAGCCTCGACAGACAGATGCAGGCAGTGAACCAGATGAATGTGCAGGGCAGACAGACAAGGCAAGGGATGCAAGAGATGGAGCGGGACAGGCAGAGGAGGGACAGTGGGACACGCAGGGACAGAGACAAGCCCCGGTGCAGCTGGAAGGACGGCCGGAGGGGAGCCGGGGGCACAGAGGCTGCGGAGGGATGGAGGGACAAGAGCAGGGAGTTGCAAGGCGCAGCCCGGGGAGAATCCCGGGCACAGGGGCACAAGCAGGGAGGACGGGAAAGCGCGGGCAGGGCCAGAGCGAGACGGTGCGGGGCAGAGGGGAGAGCGAAGGACAAGCGGGTGAGCTGGGCGGCCAGGTGCCTGTACCAGGCCGAAGGACAGCCGGGAGGACAGGCAGGGCGCGCAGGGGGCCAGGCAAGGGCAGCCAGGGAACTGCTACGGGTCAGGCAGGCGGAAAGAGAAGGTGGGCAGGAGGACAGGCAGGGCGAGAAGGAAGACTGACAGAGGTCAAGCAGGGGGACTGACAGGGGTCCAGCAGGGGGAATGACAGACGGGGCGAGGCAGGACGGGCGGGGAGCGCGGCAGGGCAGGGGCCGCGGCGGGTCGGGCAGGGGGCGCGGGCGGCGGGGGCGCGCGGCCGGGCGGCGCCCACCTGTCTCGGCGAAGCTGATGATCTCGGAGACCGGGTCGTGGGCCGGGGGCCCGGCGCTCGCCTGCCCGTCCAGGCTGGGGATCTCCACGCGGCCGTCCTCCCGCACCTTGCCGGCGTGCAGCTTGCGCAGCGCCGTGACCATGGCCGCCTTGGGCACGGCGTGCGTGATGTTGGGCCGGTCCCGCATCTGCAGCCGGCTCAGGATGTGCCTCTTCACCGCCTCCAGGAAATCCCCGTCCACCTTGCCCGGCTCCTCGGGCCGCCGGAAGCCGCAGGAGGTGCATGTGTCCTGCGGGGAGCCGCCGGCGGGGGCCGGCGGGGTCGGGGTGGCCGCGGCGCCCAGCAGGAGCAGCCCGCAGGCCAGCAGCGCGGCCAGCACCCCCCGGCGAGCCGCCCCGTCCATGGCGGAGGAGCGGGGGGCCGAGCTGGGGGCCGCCCCGGAGCGCCGCAGGGAGCCCGTCTGCAGGCAGCGCCGCTCCGAGCGCTCCGCGGCGCGGAGGGGGCGGTGGCAGCCAAGCTGGGGGGCCGCAACCGCTCCGCGCAGGGGGGGAGCCGCGGCGGAGGGAGGGGGCGCCCGGGGAAGCGGCGTGTGCCGCCGGGGAGGCGGAGGGGGGAGGCTGCACGCGCAGGCACCGAGGGCGAAGTTGGCGGCGGGGGGGGGAACAGGCTTGGCGTGCACGGAGAGAGCCCGGCTCCACGGGGGAGGGGGACGGCAGCAGGTGAGGGGGTGGCTGCGGAGCCCGGGGAGGAGGGAGGGGGAGCGGGGAGCGAGCCGGAGGTGCGAGGGGATCCGGGGAGCAGGGGAGAGGCGGCGCCGCTCTGCCCCGGTGCCCCGCGTCGCTTCAGAGGGGCATCCCCGGGCGCAGTCGCTCGTGGTCCATCGCTCGCTTCGGCAGGTCCGGGCGGGCCGCGGAGAGGAGCTCTCTAGTCCAGCGTCATTGAGGGGGGTCAGGGAGATAAACGAAGCAGATTTATATACAATCCAATTTATAGCCTGGAAGGAGGGGGGGGGGGAGAAATGCCACTTGTACCCCCCCGCCCACTCCGCCCCCGCAAGACAATCCGTGGGTGCAGGTCTCTGAGCAGGTCGGCTCCGCGCCGCTCGGTTGTCCCCCTTCAGCGCCCGCTGCTTCTCAACGTGCCATCAAAGTTGACCCGGAGCATAGCTGGGGAGGGAGCCAGGGGCGGCGGGCAGGGGGTGCGCGGCTGGCAGCTCCACTGTTGCGAGTCTTCTCCCCACACCGTCCCGCTTATTATTAGCGAGATGCTTTTATTTTCAAAGCAGCGCGGAGGGTCCGGAGTCCGGCGCGGATGCGGTGGCGGCGCTCGGGGACCCCCACCGCGGGCAGGGCACCGCACGCTGCGCGACGCGGAGCGGAGAAGCGGCGCGATCCCGGCGATCCCAGGAGAAGCTGCACGGATCCACTCGGTCAGACCAGCTCTTCGGCTCGCTCCCTCGCTTGCTCTTTTAAACAATATCTCCCTTGTTGGTGGTTTGGGTTTTATTATTATTGTTATTATTTTAAGTGTGATTTTTGTTGTTGTTGCTGCTGCTGCTGCTCCAGTTAATCTGTCTCCCTCTGCGTCTTTTTGATCTTTCGCTCGCCTTGTGCTGGCTTGAACGCTGTGTTTTGTTTTGTTTGGGGTTTTTTGTTTTGTTTGGCTTTTTTGGTTTTTGTTTTTTGTTTTTCTTTTTTTACGCGTCTGATGTTCCCTCTCGGATCCGCAGTGAAAGGTCTCGGGGAAGCTGCTTGCTCCTCTCTTATCTTCTCTGATCTCCTCCTGCTAATTTTTCCCCCCTGCAAAATCACGACATTGTGGCACTTTCTACTGAAACTTTTATACAGGAGTTAAAACCACGTGGGAACTCCAACCTATAACAGAGACGCCATGGGTTCCTCACTATTTAGGAGATTAAGTTAAGTCTTTTGCCCCCTGGGCTATTACAGTAACTTCCTGATGTGGAAATATTAACTATGCTGTTTCTTTAACTCCCCCCGTCCCCTCCCTCCCTCCCGGTTCCTGCAAACACACCCACCACACACCGGCTCGCGTCCCTGTCCCGTCGTCCGGCAGGACGGACGGACGGACCCCGAGCGGCTGCAGCTCTGGGCCCCCTCCCGCCCCGGCCGGGAGATGGATGCCCCCTTCTTCCCCCCCCTCCGCCCCCCCCCCGGTGCTCCTTGCCTTTTAAGCACTTGAAAGAAGAAGTCATTAGAAAGTTTACCGTCGGTTGGCTTTGCGACGGGGCGGGTTTCTGTTTGTTTGTTTGAATGGGCCGGGTAGCCGGGGCGGGTGCCGGGGACTGTGTGTGTTTTCCGTGAGGCAGGAGGGACGCGGAGCCTGGCGGAGGCAGCAGGGGGAGGGGGACCGGGGCGGCGGCCGAGGGGAGCCGGGAGGGGAAATAACGGGACCGCTGCACTCCCGCAGCCGTGGCGGGGAGCCGGCAGCACAGCCGGCCCTGCCCGCGCCCGGGGACCGGGTTTTCCTGCGCGCCTTCGCGGGGCAGCGCTGTGGCGGGGGGTGGGGGGAGCGGGCACCGAGGCAAAGGGGATGGCTGTGACACCCCTCACGGCGGGCGTCAGGAGAGATTCCCGCCCGGCTCCCGCCAGAAGCCCTGCCCGGGGACCAGCGGCCAGGGACCGGGGCCGAGGGGGCGGGGGGAGAAGCCCGGCGCACACCGGGCACCACCGGGGCGTGACCACCGAGGTGTCACCACCGAGGTGTCACCACCGAGGTGTCACCACCGAGGTGTCACCACCGAGGTGTCGTCACCGCGGCCGCTCCGCGCCCCGGCCGGGCCGGGCCCCCGCGGGGTCGCGCTCACCTGCGCGGGGCCCGCGCGCGCCGCCGCCGCCACAGGGGAAGCCTGGGCCGAGGGCGCCCCCTCTGGGCCGCGCGGGGAAGCGGCGGCGGGGCCGGGCGGGGTCACCGGGACAGCGGCACCGGGACAGCGGGACGGGGACAGCCGGCATCCCGTGCCAGCCCTCCGACCCACGGGAGGACCGGGTCGTGGGGGGCGCTGAGGAGGTTTCCGCGGGCCGGGCTGGGGTGTCAGGTCCCGCAGAGGCGAGGGGCTGGGGCTGGGCAGCGGGCGGTGCGCGCTGGAGCCGGAGCTCTGCGCTGGGCGAAGGAGCACCTTGGGCTGAGCCTCCTGCCCGGGCAGCCGGCCCTTCTAATCGCATCTACTTTCCTTTTTTTTATTTTTTTTTCTTTTTCTTTTTTAAAATAACAAAGAAAAATCTACCTTCAGGAATGAAGACAACTCTCAAGACCTTCAGTTCTTTCACCGAGCCAGATGGTGCTTTTCAAGGGCAGATGCAGGACACACAAATTTCAAGCATGACAGCAAAGAAGTCCCTTCTGCTCGTTTCATTTTGTAGAAGAAGAAAATAATAAAACTTCTCATTGATCCCTGGACTGCACTCGAGTGAGAGCTGTTAGATGTCACTAATACAAGCAACTCAGGAGTGTGAAGAGGGTCAAGTGGAGGATCAGCTTATTACTGTGATTTAAGAATGGAGGGGACAAATGCTATTCTCATCATAAATGCTTTCTTTCTTCTTCTATACTGCAAAAGGAAGGACATTTAATGCTGTGCTTCAAAGTCACATTACAATCCAAATCTAATTGTTCGTGTTGGGTTTAATATAAACAAAGTCTAATTGAATATACAGCTTTGTAAATCCTCAGCATCACTGGAGCTACCCTGATGAGAGATCAGAATTAGGTACAGTATTTCCTCCCTGCCAGTAACAGGTTTTGAATGGAAAGCCTGGAATGTAAAAAAAGAAATAATGCTAAAAATCCAATCACTCTGACATCCTGTGAGCTAATAAGAGCACGTGAATGCAACAAGCTTAGTACTTCACAGTAATTAATTTGACAGCAAAGAGCTAACAAGAAAACAACAGGCAGAGCAGTGATGACTGGTTCATAGAGGTCACTGTCAAGAAATACAAGACATAGGTGCTAACACAGTCCATCTCCCTTTGGAAAAAACTATTTCATTTCCCCAGTGAAGATGAAATGCCAAAGAGGGAAAATATAAGGGGTTGATGGGGATAACAAATCTGGCAAGGTATTTCTAGCAGTAAAACAAGGTAGGGGTTTTCTTTTTTACATATGGGTATTTTTAATCATCCCTGTTACTCACTGTAGTGGCATGTTTTGGTTTTTGCTTCCCCCCCCCCCCCTTTCTCAGTTAGCCAAAGCCATTTTGCATATTCAAATATTGGGAAGACTTATCTTCTCTCACAATTACTAACAAACTAATACTCTAATAACCTCTATTGTTATTTAAAGTGTGTCCAACACAGCATTCTGGAGGCAGTTCTCATACAATGGACTTTCTCTGGCTTTCTCCTAGAGAAGAACTTAATCAAACCTCAGATGCTTTCAGGCAGAAGAGCCTTCGGGGAGAGCAAACAGGGTTCACAGAAAGAAATGTGGCATCTGATTTCTAATCTCGCTCAGGGAGCATGGCCTATTGATTGAGCCATAAAGCTCTGTTAATTTTAAGATTTCCTCAGCTTTCAGTTCTTTCCCTTGGGCATAAACTTGTTGCTTACACATAGTGGCTGAACTATCAGGGAGAGGGTAGCTTCACATTCCCCGGCTCTGCTCTCTTCCCCTCCTCCCCTCCATTCTATTTGTTCTGAGCTCATCTGCGTGAGGATACATTTTCACACACACCTTCTCAAACCGGCTGCTATTCATCTGATTCAGGGTCATGCTTTTCCATACATTAAATGCAGGGGAAAACTGGGAAGGAAATGGCTGGGATTTGTGCTTGACGGGCAGGCACACGATTAGCCAGAGAGCCCTGCTGTGAGAAGGTACAGCGTCGGAGGGTATTTTCTGTAGAATCATCAAGTCTCATGACTGGAATCTGATGCCTATAAAAAGCTACTAGTATAATGAAAGCAGTATAAACTGAGATCCTCAGGCAGTGTAAGTCGGCATGTTCCCGAGACATCCGACTGCTACAGAATCGTGGAACGGGTCAGGTTGGAAGGGACCACCCGTGGGGCCATCAGATCCAACCTCCCTGCCCAAACAGGGTCTTCCTAGATACAACTCTTCCTTTATAACCTAGATATTTGCTTATACACATTTTTCTCAGGGGTAAGGATGCAGAAGTCACTCTTGGAGAGGCCATTCAGTGCAGCCCTGAGCTAGAAGCTGAGCAGGAGGCGATGGCACAAGGAAGCTCCCTCAGTGCACTGTGTTTCCACCATGCCCTCAGTGGGACCATGAACAATTTACATTAGTGAAGGATCTAGCCCTTCACCTTTAGCTAAAGCACTTTTTATGCACTTAAACCATTAATAATATCTATTAGGTAACCTTACTAATCCCTTTGAGGTAGGATTTTCTCTACTGTACTGATGGCTGAACTGAATAAAAGCTTCACATACGAGAGGCCTGGTTTGCACTAGAAATGCTTCTCCTTTGATAACTAGCAAATACAAGTTTTACTAGCACAAGCATCTTTTTCTGCAAGCGTTTCCCAAATAAAATAGGCTATACTGGCAAAAGCACTTTTTTTTTTGCTCATATAGCTGCATCTATATGGGGGATTTTTGCACGTAGTGAAACGCAATCTGTTTTAAATGGCACTTCAGAAGAGCATTGCTATCCCACAGAAGTTTCAAGGCTAGACCTTGAAGTATATACTTCTGCCTCATATCTGAAAGAGCTTTTTACAAAGTGGCCATTGTCCTCTTGCAGGAAATACAGAAAAGCTGAGACACACAGGGGTAGGCTGGGAGTGCTCTTCTCTATCTGGAATTTGTGTTCATTACATTCTTTAACCTCAGATGAAATTATGTATCTGTAATCAGACTCACTCCTCACTACACAAAATTACTTCTTGAATAAGTGTGACAAAGACAGTGGATGTTTCAAAAGCAGCATAATTCTGTA